AGAATACGTGAGAGAAACAACTCAGCAGGTCCCAAGGTCAGTGAAGGAGGGGAGGAGGTGCTCGAGGCATGGGAGCAGAGAATCCCCTGCAGCTCAGGGTGAAGACCACGGTGAGGCAGGCTGTGCCCTGCAGCCCATGGAGGTCCATGGTGGAGCAGATCCCCACCTGCAGCCCAGGGAGGACCCCATGCCAGAGCAGGTGGATGCCCAAAGGAGGCTCTGACCCCATGGAGGACCCACACTGGAGCAGTCCATTCTAGAAGGACTGCACCCTGTGGAAGGGACTCACACTGGAGTGAAGAACACTCATGAAGAACTGCAGCCTGTGGGAATAAGTCATGTTGGAGAAGTTTATGAAGGGCTATCCCCTGTGGGAGGGACCTCGGATTGGATAAGGGGAAGGGTGTGAGGTGGAAGGACTGTCAGAGACAACATGTGATGAACTGACTGCAACCCCCATTCCCTGTCCCCCTGCGCTACTTGTGGGGAGGAGGTAGAAAAAACTGGGAGTGAAGTTGAGCCTGAGAAGACAGGCGGAGTAGAGGGAAGGTGTTTTTAAGATTTGGTTTTATTTCTCATTATCCTACTCTGATTTGTTTGGCAATAGATTAAACTAATTTTCCCAAGCTCAGTCTGTTTTGCCTGTGACAGTAATTGCTGAGTGATCTCACCCTGTCCTCTTCCTGACCCACGAGCACTTCATTATATTTTCTCTCCCCTGTCCAGTTGTGGAGGGGAGTGAGAGAGCAACTTTGATGGGCAAATGGCATCCAGCTAGGGTCAATCCACCACACATGGCAATACAATGATAAGTAATAGTAATAACAATAGTAATAATAATAACAACAACAACAATAATAATAATAGTTGTTGTTATTATTATTATGAAGAAGAAGAAGGAGCAAATCAGCTGCTGGACGACGGCAGATAGCTCAGAGAACTGAATAACAATGGCATTTTAAAGTTATATAAATAATTAATGTTCTAGAGGATCTCAAAGCACTTCAACAACTTAGGGATCATTTTATTCATTACAGGAGTGAAAGTACCTTTAAGGAAACTAAACATACCCTTCACAGTTAGCAACGAATAAGACAGAAGCATAAGCAATTCCTCACTGTGTTTTGTAAATGTTGGCATAGTTAGTTCTGAATAGTTTTAGTTGCACTGCTGTAAATACAGTAAACTCCTCTTAATCATGAAATACATAACGAGGAAAACCACTTAATTAGTATACCTCCCTCAGAAATTACTTACCTAATGAGATGCAATTTCAGTGAATGCTGCTTAATCGGAACACTATTAGCATATATTCCATGCCATGGTACGTACTGAAGTCATCACTAAGGATTTCTGTGGTGGTTAACCAGGTGTTAAAATAGCTGCAAAATTTTAACTTTCCTTTAATTGATACACAAGTTGCCAAAAAAGACACAATTTCTGCAAACAGAATGTGATTTCTGTTCTTGCATTTCTATTCAAGTATAATATTTTATGTCAGCTGTCTCCTTAATTCTAAAATCGGTGACTTAAAAACTGGATGCTAGGAAGTATTTGTAATTTCTTCCATTTGGGCAAACATTATAAATTCCTACAGGCAATTACAGCACTTACTCACACAGCCATAGAAACTGCACATGCAAAGAGAACATGGGTCCCAAGTCTTCACAGATGATTATTCACAAAATCTCTTACAACTGTAAAATCCAATTAATTAGAACTCCAGGATATCAATTAGATTTCCCAATTACCAAGATACAAATGTACCCCAAAACAGCTGTAAGTCTGGAGAAAACAAAACAAAACAAAACAAAACAAACAAACAAAAACAAACAAACAAACAAACAAACAAACAAACAAAAAAATTGCAGGCACATTTCCTTATACTTTCTCTGCCTGCAGCAGCACAGTGAAGATCTGAAAGGTGAGTGGTGCCACTGTTCACTTGCGGGACTGTGACATGAGACGGGGTGATGGGGCTGCCATCTCACCCGGTGGGCTAGAGGCAAACCGGGCAACCACACTTCTGAAGAAACAGGGCACTCACTGCCAGCCAGACGTGAGATGTTTTCTGGTGAACTAGTAGTATTTTAGGCTATAAAGACAGTCTATCTCCAAGATACATTTTTAATACATGTTTCTGCATTTAGAGCCAGAATCTTACCCCATTTCCAGTCATGCTATGTCTTTACTAGCAGAATAAACACTTCTAAGAAAACTGCACTGCAGGAGCTGCTGCGATGAACCTGAACTCACCTGCTCCCTCTTCTACACCACACAGTGAGCTCGAGATAGGTTTCCAAAGGCTGGGTGGAGATGCCAGCGCTCAAATGATCCTTATCTAGCACTGGTATGGCTGTGCCTACACTGTGCAGCCACTGCACTCTCAGCAGCCATTTGGTTCTCTCAAGGACACATCCTCATTCACATTGTCGTGGCACTGGAGCTCACCAGGCATGCTGGGGCAACAGTGCCCCAACCAGGCTGCCATGAGAATTACTAAGGCCCATATAGACCACACCGACCCTTCAGGTCACGTCCTTGAGCAGTGTGGACGAATAGATAACCTGGAAAATCCTTGGCAGATGCAATCCAACTTTATCAAGGTACATCCTTTGACAGTGATCAACAGGGGCACCAGATGCTGTGCTGCCCCACAGATCCCACACAGGGCTGTTTCACAACTGGAGCAGGCAGAGCATCTGTGAGCACACGGAAACACATTTCAGAGCCATCCCTGCTGTCCCAGTGTCACAAACCCCTTGTTTTGGTATTCAAAAGTAAGGATAATAGGCCCATGGTATGTCATGGTCTTACCTTCTCTGTGCCTCAGACCATCCTATCCATCCGTCATGGTCAAAAGCATGACGTTTCTAACTATGGCACACTCTCCTCTCAGTCTCACCTAGTGTCTGCCCATGTCCATCATCCAAAGCCAGTACTGACTGGGCAGACAGAAGGGACGTTCAGGCTTGGCACTGCCCATGCATGGAGAATCTCTCTCTATCCATTTCGCAGTCACCATCATATGCCAGGAACGGGGCCAGCTGAATCCTTGCCTAATCCAATTTGCTGCTGAAGCAAGAGTCACCCATCCTTGTCCAGGGACAGCTCCAAAATGCTCACAGAGAAGTCAAGAAAGACTGCTACAATACATACGCCTGTAGGAAGAAGCCAAAGGTTCCCTTTATCCAGAAAAATAATTTGGATGATGTTACCTCCTGGATCAAGATGTGCTGAGTACACGTGGTGATGGCTCCTTGTATTCAGCACATGCTTATATCTAAGCCCACCCCAGACCCATACTGAAACTTTTCAAAAGACAGATCTCACATGACTTCAGCTCTGTGCAAATGAAAGCTGAGGACAGAGTCATGATGTTAAAAGCACCGCTGTTCCCGTTATTAGGGTTGCCGTGTGTCACCCAGCAAAATCAGCTGCCTGCACAGATGGCCCTTAGACTACTGCTTTAGAGGCCAAACTGTGGATTACATACTAAGACAGGAGACAGTCTTCTCTGCTTGTTTTGACTTCTACATGATGGCAGGACTCTAAGGTATCCTATTCTTTGCTCACAACCCCTACAGATCAGAAAATAAATTTTATTTTTGTCCTGCAAACTAACAGTAGATTATTTTTTTCCTGGCACAGGTAAGGTATGTATCACTTTTACATGTGTTTTGCCTCTTGATGAAGTGCTCTGGGGAGCAATCTGAACTGCCACACCATCAATCCCAAAAGGGCTTTATTCTTACATTTCCAGAGCAGTGACCTGGGTCATCTTCCCAGATGCTGCTGAGTTCCGCTGACCCCCAAACAGGCACTTCTTCCATGAGTGGGGCAGGGCAGGCTACCAGATCGCCTCACCCATTAGCTTCAAGGTGCTGGTAGATTTGTTGCATAAGTCAGTCTGACCCATAAAGATGGGCCAAAAGCAATTTGGGGCAGAACAAGTATTAGACATGCTTTGCCACGGCCCCAGGGGATCAATATTATCTACTTGCCAGCTACTGCGCAGTGTACCAGGGGGTGTGTCTGGAGTCACCTTCAGTGTACAGGTATGAACAAGGTGGTTTTCTACTGAGCTGGTCCTTTGGCACCAACCTAACAGACCAGCATGAATGTAGATGCTAATGCTCCAAACTACAAAACTTTCAGCATCCCTTAAGTGTTGCAGCCCCTTAGCAACCCTAACACTCAACAGACCTTATAATTCCTTCATTTTCATGTAATTTAAATTACATGTGTTTAAGTAGATGGATTTTGTTGGTAATTGATAACACTGAACAGATGAGAAGCATTATGTAAAAGCCCATCAAAGCCCAGAAGAAGGATGGGAAAGAGGGAGTAAACATGTACTAGAAGAATGATTACCACTGTTCTCTGTCTCTGTGCAGTTTATATTACCCAAAGTAGTCACACGGAGAATGAACAGAGCTTTTTTATACTGGGACATCTGCAACTCTGGAGATCTTCTGTCTGACCCTGCTCTCCCTTCTCCAGGGGCATCCTCCACAGAAATTACTTTGGGGATCCTTTCTGATTTGACTATCCCATGGAAAGGATATCAGAAATCTAAGGCTGAGAAGATTTTCAGAAGTGTTTCTATTTCTGAACTGGAAGCTTTCCGAGAGTGCCTGGGAGCACATTTGATGGAGGAGCAGAAAAGAAAATGAAAAATGGGAAGAAAGAAAAGTGTATAATATAACACTCATACTCTCACCCTACAGTGCTGTCTGCAGTACATCTCTTTGCTTATCAGCAGCAAGTTTGCAAAGTAAGGGAAGAGTACATTAAGGAAATCTTGCCCAAATAACTACTTGGATCTGATTTCAAGTTTCAACTCTCATAGGCAAGGAAACCGATAGTGGTATTACAAAGTAAAAGGCACACACAACCATTTGTAATTTGGAGACACTTGCAAATTACAGGATTGCAACAGGATAGACAGAGCTTTTCAAACAAAAAAATACATTTATTTAATTACAAATCTTCTAATATAATTTGCTTTAATAAGACCTTAGCAGTATATCTGCAGTAACACATTAATTTTCCTGAAGAAGAGAAGGTAGCACAATCCACTTGAAGCAGGCAGAAGCATGAGAGGACTTTTTGTCAGGCGCAGGAGTTGTTCTATCCCTTGGTTCCACAAATGTAAGTACAATCCTGAGCACAACGCTGGGCTCCTCTGCCCTGAGCTTTTCTATTCTTCTTGAAGAAATACTGATGCTTACATATGTCTTACAGAATTGCTGTAGTCTTCTTAGCATTTGACATATACCATTACATCTCCTGATGGAAGCCAAGGTGCTAGAACAAAAATATTAGAAACATTTACTCATTGCATATCAGAAAAGATTGATGCTACACACTGGAATATTCTAGCACTCCATTTAAAACTGTTCTATCGTGAAGTCAGGAAGATTCTGTTTTCTGGTAGTAGTTCATGAGGTTTCATCCTTCAAAGCTAGCACTTGGATTTGGGTTCCTAATAAATTTTAAACTATATGGAATATGGCCTCATTTCAGTCTGAGACCTCAGCTGGGAAACCCAGTGTGACTCTGATGTGCTCTGAGGTACTTCAGTGTTTAAGGCACCACAGAGGCAGAGTGAAAGAAGACAGCAACATATTATGATCCTACTGCAATAGCATGAGACAGGCAGAAATTAAAAAACAGTTTCTGCACGTTTTTGATGTCAAATTACAGATTCCTCCTCAATAAGTGGAAGAACAGTTCTAGCTAGAAGCCCCCGAAACCAAGAGAATCATGTAAGTCATGTCTGCTTCACACTGTGGAGTGAAGCATAGATGACAGTGAGCGAAAAAACCAGTGGCTTCAGAAGCCAATACAGGATAGTTGTAGCATCGTTTTTCCCTCAAGCTACAAGACCCATTAGCTTGGTCACGGTGCCACGCTAGCACAGCTGAATGGGAACGAGCTTTTACATCCAAGATATTATATGCTTTCAGGAACAAGGCACTACATCCAAACAGTGATGTGCTGCACTTTGTGATCTTTATGTGCACTTGAGATCTTTATACCTTTATACCCAACAAAGAAGTTTGCTGCTGCAGAAAAAAAGCAGACTTCACATAGTGCACTGGATGTTTTTATTATGAAATGTTGTGCTGGAAAGGATGGAGCAGCCTCTCACAAAGGTGAAAATGTACCTTACCCGAGGGAAAAGATGTCCTCATTTTCCAGCTCCGTTCAAGCTTTTCTTCTCTTGTGGATTCAGTAAAGGGACTCTGTTGAAAAGGAAAGACAAAGAAATCATTGTGTGACATAAGACACTTTTAAAGTTTAAAGTGAGCAGGAGGGCCAGTCAGCTACCTGCTGAGCCACGCTTGGAAAGTCTTCATCTGAGATCAAAGATAAAAGCCAGTACTCAACCAGGCTTCTTTTACGAGCAGGACTGTGATCCACTCAGCATGCTTATTCTAAAAAAACCCCACAGCAACAAGAAGCACAACTCTCAAATAGAAATGGAAGTATATAAAGCAGAAGGAGTTCTAATAAGAGTCCTTGAATTTGGGAGCTTTGTTTAGAGATGCTTTAGCAAATGGATGCTGATGCTTTCTCAGGACATGTAGGAGCATTCTCCTTTGCCTTCTGTAGCGTATCTGTGGTAAACAGAACATTGATGTAGGTGTAACTTGTTTTCTACAGCTCTACAGCTTGCTGTCTTCAAAGTCTTAGGTGTAGTTTAGCCCAAGAAGAACAAATGACAATGTAGCATATAGATATATGTATGTATGTATGTATGTACATATATATAGTTATAGACTTATGTATGTATATACTTACATATATTTAAAGACTTAATATATGAATGTAGTGCTGGACATAGAAAACTTCAGATGTCCTGTAGGCATGCATGTGGGTTGTAACCCTTTATAGGAACATAGTGTTATTCAGCTGGTGGAATTTTAAAATGTCAAGTCTGTGGATATGTATATAAAAAATATATGCAAATTTAGAAAATATTCCAGCATCCTCTCTCTCTCTTTTTGGTTATAAATGTGATTTAAAATCCTTTCATAGACAACAGGACAGATTATCACACATGTGTGATTCTCCTCATATTCTAGATTCAGCTTTTCAAAGCTGTAAGAAACTTCACACAGTTGTCATTTAAAAAAAAAAAATGTGAAAGAAATATTTCCCATTTCTTGGAGAACTTTCAAAAAATTTGAAACAATCTCAAAAACCCTTATCACTTGTTGTTGCCAGGAAGATGCATGATACAGTCCTAAAGAAGCAATGGACCTTCAATATGCAAAAATGTTGAATTCTGTTATGACATTGCTCTGCAGAGCTAGAACTACAAATTTTGAAAAGACGACTTTGCTCTGCCAGAAATCAGAAATGCGGAACAACCTGCAGGCTTTTTAGCGGACATTCAGAGCTCTGTTCTTCAATATACATTTGTAGGAGCCAAAGTATCTGCGTTTAGATTCACAGAAATGGAAAATGCTCCCACTATTACTTCACATTAGTGTAGAACTGCTGTAAGGAATCTGTTGTTTCTCCTAAGGATATGCAGTGTATATAGGAAAGCACCAGGTAGTCCGTAGATTTCAGTGGTTGGCCAGAAAGCTATGATACAGTTTGTTCCAGTATTGATTTATAAGTCATACCCTAGAACTGAAAGACAGGAATTTGAACCAGATTTGGGTTTGAACCTCACCTTGTGCAGAGCTGAGGCTCATCTCTGGTCAGAACGGAGAGTGGGTGTTTTCCGTATCTCCATCGTCAGTTTCACTGTTCCAGTGGTAAATCCTCAGCTCACTGTCAAGAAGCCAGCAGCCTCCAGTAGAAGACCAGGTGATTTCAAGTACAAAGAATGTCAAGGATTCAGTGCCTCCGCTGGTCAACATGGCTGCTACATATGCTTACAAACAGCACAAACTAAGACACTGTAGGAAATTTATATGTGAATTACTTCTTTCCATGCACCTGTATACCTGACAGGAGCCTGAATGAAAAAAACACTATTTGTAACATCACATTATTGGAGGTCCTGGTGGATGCCAAGCTGAACACAGGCCAGCACTGTGCCCTTGTGGCAAAGAAGGTATCCTGGGCTGCACGAGGAGGGGTGATGCCAGCAGGTCAAGGGAGGTGGTCCTTTCCCTCTGTTCAGCACTGGTAAGGGCACCAGTTGAGTACTGTGCCCAGTTCTGGGCTCCACACTACAGGAGAGAGATGGAGCTACTGGAGAGATTGTAGCAAACAGTCACTAAGATGATGGAGGGACTGGAGCATCTCTCCTATGAGAAAAGGCTGGGAGAGATGGGACTGGTCAGGCTGGAGAAGCCATGCAGATGGGAATCTCATGATACTGTACACACACCTGAAGGGAGGGTGTTAAGAAGACAGAGCCAAACTGTTCCAGTGGTGCCCAGTAGCAAGACAAGAGGCAATGGGCACAAACTGAAACATGGGAGGTTCCTCCTGAACATCAGGAAACACTTTTTTACTGTGAGGGTGACTCAGTATGGGAACAGGTTGCCCAGCGTGGTGGTGGAGTCTCCATTCTTGGAGATCCTCAAAAACCACCTGAACACAGTCTTGGGCAGCATGCTCTAGGTCTCCCTGCTGGAACAGGGGAGTTGGACCAGATGGCCTCCAGAGGTCCCCGCCAACCTCAACCAGACTATGATTCTGTAATTTGTTCTGGCAAAACAGCAAAAGCAATTAACCATATGAAAAGTTTCAATTTAGTAAAAAAGTCAGAGGTAAATTTTATGATTATTAAAAATACCATCACAGTTACCAGAGCTATCCAGTACATTGACTGGAGGAGGTGTACAATTCCCTTAAAATTTTACCAGAAATGGTGATACAAATTGGTAAGAAGACTGTACAATGACTTTCACATGCTACTTCTTATATTATCTAAGAGAAAAAAAATAAAACTAATACATGGCACAAAGCTGAGTAGAAAAGAATGCTTCCTCTGCACTATATATCATATTGTATGCTCTGTATCATCCTTCTGAGCTGTATTCGCAGCCCTCAGACAGATAAGGTCATGCATTGTCTAATGACCTATCAAAACCACTTAGAACGCAAAACAAAACAAACAAACAACAAACAAAAAATATTTCTGAAAAACAGAAAGATACATGAGCTGTACTTCTTCATTTGACATTGCTGAACACTAATTCCCTTAATAGCATGACTATTTTGATAGTTTTTAGTGCCTAAGGGAACACCTTGAGGACAAATTCTTTCAAGCAATGGAATTACTAAGAATCTCAACACATGCAGAAACCAAAATATGCATGAATCTGTACTTGTTTATTGCAATACATATATGAACGGTCTATGTTGACAGTCTCAAAACAATGTAATTACCTACCAGCCTACAAGAGACAGAAATTTAACCGAAATATAAGAGATATGAATGGAACAAGAATTTTTTATTTCCTTTCTACTAATTCAGTATTCTCAAATATCTTTGCTGCCTGCCTGTATGTACCATGCCACCTTATACAAAGAAAATGATAAATGAACAAAATCAACCTCTGCCTTTTTGATCTGCTCCTTAGGATAAGAACACAGGCTGCTTTGGACAACAGGGTAATAATTCAATTGGAGTCTTCAGACACTTTCTGTAATTCAAATACAACAAGTAAAAATACAGTCCCAAGAGGCTGAACTCCAACTCTTGGTAGGTAAGTCTGGATAACTCAAAAATAGCATCTGTTGGAATACTACAAGATGCCTAAATTATAGCAGCGCCAGTAAGAATCTGTGAAAGAAAATCAGGAAGCTGTAAAGTATTAGAAAAGGGCAGATGAGAATATGGAAATAAATCTCAAGTGATTAAAAAAAAAAAAAAAAAAAGGCCTCCCATTGCTAAACAAACACAGAATTAGGACCACTCCCACTGCACATTTTCTAATGCCTAATTTTATCCCTGAAAGGATGGCTGACTCGAAAGAAAATCAGGTTCTGCGAACCAAACACTTCAACTAGTTCTCCTGCATTCTGTACTCGCAATAGATCATGCAGATGAAGGACTGCAGCTCAGTCTTAATTTGCATCAGGTACCAAAAGGTATCTGCCTGACTTTCATAGTCGTTTCCACACAGTGCATGGCATTTGTTCAGTATTAATAACCAAAGTAACAAATGTAAACAAAGGTTTCGATTTTCTTTTCAGGTCACTGCTGGAGCCAAAACAGTTCACTGGCTGGCTCCACAACAACTAAAGACAGATCTCAACAAAAAACAGGCCAGTCAAATATAAAACTCTATTTTCTACCTATGTTACGTGCATTTTCAGAGGCACCGAAGTCCCCATCTTGACTGAGAGGAAAGAGGAAGCCCAATGAAACCACAAACATTTGTGTGCATGCCTGTAAGTCTGACACAGCACAAACATATGTAACCATATTTGGTAGCAAAACGGCGTGAAATCCAGAGGCTGAGAGCTCCAGGAGTGCATTCCCACACAGTCCAGTCAGTCTGTAGCTACTGCAAGTGCTGCAGGCTAGAGATGCTTACTGGTATCTGCTGAAAGGGACTGATTCTGTGATGCCTATTTTGAAAACAACAGTATATAACTGCACTATTTTGAAAGTAGTTTTACATTGTGAACACAGGTCTATGCCAGTTCCATGCTCTGTGCTGACTGCCACCAGCACACATCCTAGAGGTAAAAAGGTGTCCTAAAGGCAGCCATGACACCCTAAGACAGGATAACTAAGGAAATTTCATAGGAAAAATTATCTTAGGAATATTCTTAATGTAGACAAGTCACTAATACAGGGAAGAACAAAGTGAACCTTCATAAATCTGTGAAAATAAATTTATTTCTTTATTTTGATATTGTCTGTCATAGCACATGTGATATGGACCAGTCATGATGCAAACTACAAAAATGCCACACAGTTTTCACATAAACACCCAGTGGAAACTCAGTACTGCTTGAGCACAGAGGTTCCTCCCTTAACACCACAAGTTTTTCAGCTGGGAAATTAAATATTTAAAGTCCAAATCTGCAAAAACACTTACACCCCTGTCACTGCAATCAGTAGGATGCTGATACAGGAAATAATTGTCCGTGTCCTGCAGAACATCTGATTCTAGTAAGTGTCAGGTAGCACTTATTTTTAGTAAAGGTTTCAATGACCATGTCATCTCTCAGTTAAGATTTCAGACCTGATCACTTCACAGTCTTTGTGCGTGCCACTGAAGTTAGTGCTGATTTGAGCATGGTGGAATATCAGTATTTGGGTGGTCCCTTTGCCAACGCAGAGTCCATGTAACCTGCAGGTGGTAAACTCTGTGCAAAATTCCTCACCTGTCTTGAAAACACTGATTTGCTTCACAGAAACAGACAAGACAGAAGTCATATGAAGGGGGATGTTTCTGGGAACAATTTTGCTCAAAATTGAGGTCCTATAAAATACTTCTTCCTAATACATAAAGCTCCTAAACATACTTTAAAGATTGTTTTCTTGCTGTTTTTCTAAGTACCTTTTGTCCACTTACAAGCAACAGCAACAGAAAAAAAATTAATTTTCTGCAGCAGATACAAACCCAGTACTGTTGCATTTCACTCATAGTGGGCGACTTAAAGAAACCCCAAACTCTAGTACTGGAAAAAATGTATTGACCAGACTCCTCTTATTCTTCATATCAAGAAGCAGCATCCTTTTTCCCAGTGCAGACATTACCCTTTATGATGGCAGGAAGGATAGTCACATCCCCTAACATCTCCACCAAGTTGCATGAGCAATGATGTAACCAAAATACTAGCATTTCTGATTATGTGCTGGGTGCATACTTGTCATGGATGGAGTCATGCACTTCATTCATAAGAAAGAAGCAACAACATACTTCACTGATATAACAAAGTTCAGTGGTAAATATGACAGTGGTTTAACAAGATTGGGTGACAAGGTACACTTTATTTTTTATTGCATAAAGGACCGGGTCAGACAAAACTGTCAGGGAGACCCTCCCATTGAGTCATGAGGGTCAGAAAGGACCCCCCTTGCTTTCTAAACTCCTCAGAGGGGAGTTTGGGTGTGACTGGATCCAGACTTGATCCAACCTGATAGCCTTGAAGAATGAGATGAGTGGCCTGGTGTATGACAGAAGGGCATGAGAGGTTGTTTCATCTGAACTTTAGCAGGACTTTCCACACTGGGTCCCATCACATCCTCCTAGACAAACTGACAAAGTACAGACTAGATAAGTGTACGGTGAGGTGGACTGAAATCTGGCAGAACTGCCAGACTCAAAGGGCTGTCATCAGTGTCACAAAGTCCAGCTGAAGGCCAGCTGTCAGTAGGGTACCCCAGGCACTGATACTGGGACCCACACTGTTTAAACTTACCATTAATGATGGGACTGATTACACTCTCAGCAAGTTTGCAGGTGATGCAAAACTGGGAGGAATACTTAACATACTAGATGTGTGCTGCCATTCAGAGGGACTTCATAAGCTGGAGAAATGGGCAAACTGAAACCTCATGAAGTTCAACAAAGGGAAATTCAAAGTCCTGCCCCTCAGCAGGGATAAGCACAGGCACCAGTATATGCTGGGGGCTGGCCAGCTAGAAAGCAGCTCTGAGAAGAAAGATCTCGGGGTCCTAGCGAAAGAGTGGAACATAAGTCAGCAATACACTCATGGCAAAGAAGGGCAGCAGCTTCCTGAGATGCACTAGGAAAAGCTTTGCCACCAGGTCAAGCAAGTGATCCCTCCTCTCTTCTCAGAACTGATCTGTAGTGATGGGTTTGCTTCTGGGCTCTCCAGTACAAGAGAGATGTGGAAATACTGGAGCAATTCCAGTGCAGGGCCACAAAAGTGTTGAGGGGACTGAAGCATCTTTCACAGAAGGATGAGGCTGAGGGAGCTGGGTCTTGTTTAGTATGGAGGAAAGATGAGGAGGATCTCATACGTTTGTAAAAATACCTGACAGGAGGGTTTAAGGATGATA